AAACAGCTACAAAATAAAGAAACAGTTTACCAAATTAAGAAGCCTTATACAAAATAATTGGCCTACAATCTTCAAAAATGTCAAAGTCAAGAAAAGACTAAGGAATTGTTCCAGATTAAAGAAACAAGTGTTAATAAAGAGAAAAAACAAACAAACAAACAAAAAACAAGTGCAAACTGGAATCATCCCCACCCCCCAACACAACAGCAAACCAAGACTTAATTCTAGTTTAAACCTAGCCCAGGAATGTGACCTTTTAAAAGTCAACCAGAAGTTTCCTGATAAGCACAAATGAGGTAATCTGCATGATAAAAATCCTGCTGCTCTCTACCCTCACCCCGCCCCAAAGGAAGATATTCTGGCAAGAAACAGTCCTTTCTTTTCTTCAGCTAGTAACTCCATGACTCACCCTCAAAGTTCTCATTCTGTACAACTCCGGGAGCATCTCCACTTGCTAGATACAGGCGGGTGCTGCCCGGTTCATGAACTGCTTAATAAGGCCAGTTAGATCAGCTGCATTTTGTTTTTTAACCCAAGAAAACAAAATGTAGTATGAGTCTGGGAAGGACTGGTTTCATATAAAGGACGATATTGGCAACTGGCAAAACCTGAATGTTGTTTGAGGAATGAATAGTAGAGCTATAAACAATGTTAATGTCTTTTTTTTTTTCATTTATTTATTTATTTATTTTTAGAGAGACAGAGCGTGAGCAGGGGAGGGGCACAGAGAGAGAGGGACACACAGAATCCGAAGCAGGCTGCAGGCTCTGAACTGTCAGCACAGAGCCCGATGTGGGGCTCAAACCCACAAACTCTGAGATCATGACCCGAGCCAAAACCAAGAGTCAGCTGCCCAACGGACTGAGCCACCCAGGGGCCCCACAAAGGTCACTTCTTGATTTTGATGGTTGTATTACAGTTACAAAGAATAATGTACCTGACTGTAGGCAAAATTTACTAAATAACTCAGATGTGAATAATTAGCAAGTTGGAAACTTAAACTCTATTTGTGGCTGGGGGCGGGGGGTGGGGGATGGGGCACAGTTCTTGCCCCAGACATTCCCAATCAGTTCCACTGACCCCTTGAATGCATGTGCGTCCATTATCTTAGACAAAATGTTCCGATCTAGATCACAAAATTCACAGAGCAAGGCGTCTACTACATGTAATGCTGACTGGAAGCAGAAGTTACTTGCCAGAGTCAGGAATGAGACAGAGAGACAGAGAAGCTTACATCTCTCACATGTTTCAGTGAGGCTGACTTTAGTACTGGTTCGAGTTCAGCAAATGTTACCTAAAATCAGCCCTGACCGTGAAATCCTTCATTCACAGCCCTCTATTTCGGTCTGAGGTGTCTGTCCCCTCTGCTGCTCTACAGAGATGGTACAGGGATAAATGAGAGTACTGGTTACATCTCCTGACCCACACACTCAAGTGCCAGATGTGAGAACAAGAGCTCCCATTCCCGCATGGTAGAGCCCATGTGCTAAAAGAACTGTTCCTGCAGACCAAACTAACAACACGGCCTAAGCAGTGAGATCAAAGACAACTGTCCAAATCTCCTCTTCAAACAACTTCATTTGTGAACCAAGAAATGCAGATTTAGAGGGAGGATGTAAAACCTCTATCTTTTCACCTTTCCACAGGCTCTGTTATGTTCCATACCGGATGGCTTAGACCTTTGAGGTCATAATCACTACTCCTCCAAATGCTAAAGATCTACATTCTTTTTTCTAAGGAAAACATTGATTCCATGTGTAGAAACCCACACCTATGGTGTGGAAACCCACTCTATGGTTAGAGTAGAAGATGAGTTCTTAAACTTTTACAACAGAACATAATTTTCTCTTCCTCTTAATGGAGACTTAAAAGTTTCTAATGGTACTCCATAACCAACACCCAGACGGCCTGCAATCACTAGCTAAATTCATACAAGACACCATGGAGTCAGGGATTCATTAATGCTCTATGGCCTGACCAGGTATCCATCTCCTGCCATCTATTACTTTTCTGTATAGAATGTGATCTACTTTGGGTGCCTCAGTGGCACAATCAGTTGAGTGTCTGACTCTTGGTCTCAGCTCAGGTCATGATCTCACGGTTTGTGGGTTTGAGCCCTGCATCAATCCCAAGCCCTGCTTGGGATTCTGTCTCCCTGTCTGTCTCTCAAAATAACTAATAAAGGGGCGCCTGGGTGGCTCAGTCGGTTGAGCGTCCGACTTCGGCTCAGGTCATGACCTCACAGTTTGTGAGTTCGAGCCCCGCATCAGGCTCTGTGCTAACTGCTTGCTTAGAGCCTGGAGCCTGCTTCAGATTCTGTGTCTCCTCCTCTCTCTGCC